TCCTGGGAGCCTGGGTCTTCCCCTTCCCTTAGTTAAAGGGGGAGGTTGGTGAGCCTTCAGGGCTGAAATGGTCACTTTCTTCAATCTTTCTGCTACCACTTCCTCTGGGTTATCTCGGTTATTTTAAGTGCGTTGGGCACTGGCAATTAACTCTGACTTACTTTTCCCTTCAAACCTTTCTAATTTCTGAAGCTTCTTCCTAATATCAGGGGTCTACTGTACTACAAAAACCATGTTTATCGCCTGGGCGTTCTTTGGGGGCCTCCAGGTAGGCCTCTAGGAGGCGTTCGAGAAACGCCTTAGGGGATTTGTCTGACTTCCTCAGGACCGCACTTACCTTGGAAAGGCTAGTAGGTTTCTTAGCTGCTTGCTAGATCCCCTTCAAAAGAGCGTCTTTACCTCCATCGGAATTTGGATCCCAGTCTGGCTGTTTTGTCGTCAAGAGCTAGGCAGGTTTCCCCTGCTGGGCAGGCATTTCCGGTGGGGCCCAGGACCTCTTTCTTGGCGTCTGCTAAAATGCGCTCTCTTTCTTCAAAAGTGAAAAGAGTTTGCAGAAGCTGCTGAGGGTCATCCCAGGTGGGTTGGTGGGTGAAGAAGACAGGTTCTAATAATGAAATCAAGGCTTGTGGGTTTTCCTTAGTTACTAAAATGCGGCACCCTAACTTTATGGAACAAATTTTGAGCCAGGGAATCGGGCTGAGAAGTGTATTATACCAAATGTCAATGTAAGGAAATTGGTCTGGGGGCCCAGGTGTCCCTGTCACTACTTTCCAAACCCTCCGGGCAATTTGTGAGTCAAAGGTCCCTGCACCTGGCCAATTCACCCCCAAAAGAGGGCCACTCAAGTTCACAAAGAGTTCGCAGGCACCCCCTGACTGAATTTGACCCCCATAAACATCTTCCTATTCTAAGGAATAAACATCCCTGAAATGATTTAAAATGCACCCAAAAGGGGAAGTTTCTTTTGAGGCAGACTTTCCCATATTTGAACTTGTAAGAAAGAGGGGTTACACAGAACAACACGAAAACTAGGATAGTTCCAAGGAATGAGCACAGGCATACAACATGGACAGTTTAGGGCTCAAGTGAGTGCGCCTGAGAGAATCAGCGACTGGGTGTGCTGGAACAGATTTCGAGGCTTTTCACCCCCAGACATCTAGACTGCCTACGTGAGTTATAATAGTGCGGGTGTACAATGCCCACCGAGGAACCGCGCTCAGGAGGGGACTTCCGTCCCAGTCTTATGTGAGAACAGAATGCTGCACTAGGTTCTCTTAGTAGGCTCAGTCTCGGATGGTCCGGGGGTGGGCCTGGGGAGGAGCTTACAAGGCCTTAGTTAATCTAGCGCTGAGTTTCAACAGAAAGGCAACACAAAGAAAATAACAAAAAGCTAGGGCTATCCTAAGGAGCTCTGGTAGCGTAATGGTTACGAATCGGGCTGTGAACCACAAGGTCAGCAGTTCGAAACTACCAGCGGTTCTGCGGGAGAAAGATGAGGCGGTCTACCGCTCCCGTAAAGATTTACAGCCTTGGAAACCCTGTGTAGGGTCCCTATGAGTCGACGGAACAGTCTCCACGGCACTTAACAACAACATCCTGTGTCTGCCCAATCCTCGGGGGCAGTATCCGCCAAGTCTAGACCCAGAAGGAGGGTCAAGGGGAGACAAATCAACTCATAAACGAATAAGCAGGCAGTCCACTGATTAGCCATGAATGGTGACTTTTCTGAACCAGAAAGGGCAGGTTAGGTCAATCAAGGAAAAAGGGGACAGAGAAAGGAAGCCCTCAATTAAGAGGACCAGTCAGGTGCCCACGTGGCCACGCCCCTCGCGGGGTTTTCAACGTTATCTTAGCTAAAGGTGCATCCGTATAATCCCCGGACCCGGTCACTAAAAACAGAACCAGAACCGAAACCAGAACCAGAACTAATTAGGTGAGTCACCGATGTGCTGTATGATAACGTCGTGGAACGCAGGTTTAGGCCCACTCAGACCCCGTAGTGGAAGCCGTGAGGCCGCACAGACTTCACAGCAAGCTGTGTTCAGTTACCATCACTCACACACTCATCAGTCATTCAGAGGCATTAATCGGCTAGTGGATTAGAGGGCCAAGATCAGAAACCAGAAAAAGGAAAAACAGGCTCTATGTCTCTCTGACTGAGAAATAGACCAAAGAAAAAACAGGCTCTATTTCTCTCTCACACTGAGACATAAAACAGTCTCTATCTCTCCCACTGAGAAATAGGCTTTCTCAAAGGACATCTCTGAGGAAGTGACTGTGAGAGTAAGACTGTGTCCAGTCCTCTCATCAAGTCCCCGTTTGGCTAGCCCCTGACTGGATTAAGAACAGGCAGAGTAAGAATTTACCTCCTAAGGCTTTTGAAGGTTAGGCTTCAAGGCCCCACAGATGACTCTGGCAGGCCCAGCCAACACCAGGGGTTCTGAAACGTCTCAGGGCGCGTGCCCCCTGAGTTGGGCCAGTCGTCCGGTCACTGCCTTGGAAGTCGATGGAGGGGCGTCGAGTCGAGGGTAAGATCTCGCTGGGGCCTCCAAATGTTGTGCCTCAATTTACCCATATGACCACTCAAGACTCTCAGGATGGATAAGGAAGCCTTTTATTAGCTGGCCAGCGACTACAGCCTACCTAAAAGCGAGAACAACTGCAGCCCCGACCCCGTTTTTCAAAGAGTATTTATACTTAGGCAGTCTGACATTATCTTGTACAAACCAAGGGTATGATGTATGCATGAGCTGTCAGAGTGGGGGCTAGGAGTACA